TTTTCTTGATTACCACGGATTTGTATAATAAAGTAAAGAATGTAAAGATTTTTCCTAGATCACTGACGGATCATAGTCCAGTTTGGATGGAGTTGATTCAAGAGAAAGAGGAAAGAAGATCCTGGAGAGTTAATGAAAATTTGTTTAGACAAGAGAAGAATGTTCAAAAACTAAAGGAGTGTTTAAAGGACTATTTTGCTTTGAATATGTATAAGGGGACTTCAATGTCAATGGTATGGGATGCAGGTAAAGCATTTATGCGCGGTGTTTTGATAAAAATGAATAATTTTTATAAGCGAAATCAGACTCAGAAACGTAGAGAACTTGAAGATGAAATTAAACTAAAAGAAAGGGCTTTGATTCTAAATCCTTCTGATGAAAGTACTAAAGAATCTGTAAAGTTATTAAGGTCACAATTTAATATGTTGATAGCAGATCAAGCTGCAACCAATTTATTATTTATGAAACAAAATACATTTTGTAATGCTAATAAGCCGGGGAGATGGTTGGCTTATCAATTAAGAAAGAAACAGAGACTGAGAATAATAGAGAAAATAAATTATAAGGGTAAACTAGTTTCTCAGAAGGAATTAATTAAAAAATCTTTTTTGGATTATTATCAAAACCTATACAAATCTACTAATGTACAACTGTTAGATATAAATAAATATTTAGCTGAGGCAAGTTTTCCTAAACTGACTGAGGATCAGAAATATGAAATTAATGGTTTAATTACTAAGGAGGAAATCGCCTCAGCAATTCAACAATTGAAATTAGGGAAAGCACCGGGTACGGATGGGTTAACAGCTGTTTATTATAAAGCTTTAATGGAGGAGATGATTCAACCATTAAATGATCTTTTTAATGGTATCTTACAGGGTTTAGAGATTCCTCCTTCATGGCGTAGTGCTTTTATATCATTGATTCCAAAGGAGGATCAAGATCTTACTTTACCAAAAAACTATAGGCCTATATCTCTTTTAAACGTGGATTATAAGATATTTGTAAAAATTTTGGTAAATAGGCTTATGAGGGTGGTGCATCATCTTGTGCATAAAGATCAATCAGGGTTTATAACAGGAAGGTATATGAAAAACAATGTTAGACAAATTATTAACTTATTAGAATACTTAGATAAGAACAACCAAGTTCCTGCAGGGCTCATATTTTTAGATGCTGAAAAAGCATTTGACCAACTGAATTGGCATTTTATGCTAAGAGTAATGGAAGAAATGAATTTTGGTGAAAACATATTACAAGCCCTTAAGGTAATATATCAAAAACAAACAGCACAACTTATTGTTAATGGAGGTTTGTCGGAGGTTTTCACAATAGAGAAAGGTACTAGACAGGGGTGTCCTTTATCGCCATTGTTGTTTGTTTTAACATTGGAAATATTATTGATTAAAATTCGAGAGTCTCAGGAAATTAAAGGAATATATGTTAATAAAAAAGAATATAAGTTGAGAGCTTTTGCGGATGACTTGGTTGTTACTTTGTCGCAACCTGATTATTCTGTAGTAAACTTATTACAGTTGATTCACCATTATGGTTTGGTCTCGGGTTTTAAGATTAATGTAAATAAGACTAAAATTTTACCTAAAAATTTGTCGAGTCAGGAGAAGCAGATTTTGGTTAACTCGACGGGTTTTGAGATTGTTAATAAGGTAAAATATTTGGGGGTGATGCTGTCTGTTTCTAATGCAAAACTATTTAAAAATAATTATGAAAGGTTGTGGGTCGGGGTACAGAAAGACTTGAAGAATTGGGAAAAGCTGCAATTATCCCTCATGGGAAGAATTGCAGTGATAAAAATGAATATTCTACCCAAGTTTCTTTTTTTGTTTCAAATGTTACCAATTTTGAAAAATGAGATTAATTTAAATGAGTGGCAGAAGGGTCTCAATAAATTTATTTGGGCAGGGAAAAAACCAAGGGTTAAGTTCAAAATTATGCAAGACTTCCGTGAGAGGGGCGGACTCAAGGTACCAAATTTGAAATTATATTATGATGCGGTGGTTTTAACATTAATTAGTGACTGGGTAAATTTGACAAATTCTGAGATACTTTATCTAGAGGGATGGGATTTACTTTATGGGTGGCATGCCTATTTAATATTTAATAAAAAAATAGATTGGGCTTTTAAATCTCATATTTTAAGAATTTCTTTACTTAGGATTTGGAGAAAATATTATAAAAGTGATTTTAAAGTACCATTATGGGCTATACCTTGGCATGCGATAGAAGGAATAAAAAGAGGGGTTAAAATGGATATGGTGTCTTACAGACAGTTACTTAAATGGGATGGACAAAACTGGCAATTAAAATCACGGGAAGAATTAGCACAAGAAAATTTTACTTATTCTTGGTTCCAATATAGGCAACTACTAGATAGATGGAAGATGGATTGTAAGGTGGGTTTTCTTAGAGAAGATGAAAATCTTATTAAGCAACTGAAGGATCAAAGACAAACCCACATTAAGAGAATTTATGGGGTTTTAGTTGAATTGGACTCAGAAACGGAACTAATTAAAGATTGTATGATTAGATGGGCGCAGAACTTTGGTGAGCCAGTTTCATTGGACACCTGGGAAACTATTTGGGTGAGAAATGTCAAATTTACTCAAGCACAGAATCTAAGGGAGAATTTTTATAAAATGTTTTATAGATGGCACCTTGATCCACAAAAAATGTCTTACATGTACCCTGACGTGCAACCTAAATGTTGGAGATGTGGTTATAAGGAGGCTTCCTATTATCATATTTGGTGGTCATGTAGAGAGATAAAAGCATTTTGGATCAAAATATGGTGGAATATCCAGAGAATTTTTAGAAGGAGGGTAAAATTTACTCCGCAATTATTTTTGTTAGGTATTGTTACAGATTGTGATACAAAGGAGGTTGTATTGATGTTAAACTTGATCACAGCCGCGAGGCTGTTAATTGGACAATATTGGAAGAAGGAATCTTTGCCTACATTGCAGGAATGGTTTTTTAAAGTAGCTTATCTGGCAGAAATGGCAAAGATTTCGGCTTTCTTAAAGCAACAAACGCAAGAGAAGTTTTTTGCTATCTGGGACAAATGGATAAAATTTATACAATTTAGATTGGGTATACAAAAATATTATATAGCTTTTTCATAAGTCTTATTTTTATATATATTATAGATATCTTTTTTATATATATAAATATAAAGTTTTTAATTTAATTTTTATTTTTATTTTTTTTTTTTATTATTATTTCTTAAGCCTATATTCTGCTCTGGGAAGCTCAGGGGGGGGGAAGGGAGGGTTTTTGGGAGGGGTGTGGGGTGGGGGGTTTTTTTTATATGTATTGTTTAATTTTTTTTTCTTTTGTATATGTTGTTTTTTGTTCTGTATTGTTCTTGTTTTTTTTTTGTAAAATTTATAAAACTTTTAATAAAAAAAAAAAAAAAAAAAAAAAGTGAAGTACTGGACAGAGGGGGTAGATCTTAGAAGTGTTCCACAAAGACTTGTATTCAAAGGATGAAACTTTGGTAATTTCTTCCCTTTGTTAAATTGGCAACACAATAATTAAATATAAAGTGACCCACTTTCTTTAAAAAATAATAAAACAGATTATTCAAGGAGGAGAGGAGATCTGGAATCTTGGAATTGTTTCAGTAATGGAGCCTTGTCTCTTGACTACTAAAACTTTGCAAAAGGTGGAAAAATGACATATTTCTTTCTCGACATGCTGAATTTTAGTAACCTAGTTTTACTTGAATATTATAATACAAGTATAATGGATGAATTCCCAAGGTTCTGCCACAAGTTTCTCATCCTCAGATCTTGATTCTATTATATATTTTACATGCTCACAAACTATATAAATTTATATAAATTATATAAATTTAAATGCCAAATTTATGCAGTACTTTTATCACCAAGCTGCATAGAAAACCTAATTTTAATTCACTTGAAGCTACCTAAATGCTTAAATGTACATCTGGTCCAAAATCTGAACTGTTGATTTCAGCCACACAACAGAAATGGCTAACCACAAATGGCTGTGCTTGTACACTTTTGGTGATTTTACCATGATTTACTCAATCCATCTCTGCTTTTAAACAGTATGGTAGATTAAAATCTGCTTGGTTGGTTTGTCCTGCTGAAAATGAAAACAGGTGGTTTCTGGCTGGAGAGGATATGTTTATAACCCTGGAGGACCCCTACTCAGAATAACAAAATAAGAATTGGAAGGGCCTTGGAGATCTTCTAGTAATCTCCAACCCTCTGCTCAGGAAACCCTATACCAGTTCAGAAAAATGTTTGTCCAATCTCCTTTTAGAAACCTCCAGTGTTGGAGGTTTTTAACTTCTGGAGGCAGGTTGTTCCACTGGTTAATTGTTCTAACTGCCAGGAAGTTTCTCCTTAGTTCTAGGTTGCTTCTCTCCTTGATTAGTTTCCATCCGCTGCTTCTTGTCCTGCCTTCAGGTGCTTTGGAAAATAGATTGACCTCCTCTGTGGCAGCCTCTTAGATACTAGAACACTGCTATCATGTCACCCCTCATCCTTCATTAAACTAGACATACCCAATTCCTGTAACAGTTCTTCATATGGTTTAGCCTCCAGATCATCTTCATTGCTCTTCTCTGCACTCTTTTAGAGTCTCAACATCTTTTTTAAATCTTGGCGACTCTTGACAACATGGTAGTTTAAGACTGGGCCTGCTATGGAGGGCAGCTAAACTATATTTTTCCTGAGGGGGCATCGCCCTTCATCCTGAGGAACCCCAAATATAGATAGATTTGAGGCCCCCCATTCCCTCTGCCAAAGTCCTGTCGGTGCTTCACTGACTCTCTGCCTGCCCTACCCAGCCAATACGACATCCAGGCATGCCGCACTTAGGCGCTTCTGGTTCTCCAAGCGAAGTCCCGCAGCTCCGGCTTGTCCCCGCCGGCTTGGGCCGAAGCAAGCTAGAGCTTGCAAGCCACGGCGGCCGTCGGATTGGCCGCGAGCGGGCGGGTCGGCGCGCGCCTTGGAGATTGGTCTGCTCTGCGCTCGGCCCTGCCCAGCGCTACTGCTACCGCCGCCCCCGAGAACGGCGGAGTCAACTCGCGGCGAGCAAGGCTTGAGGGAGGCGGTGGCTTCCGCAACGAGCAAAGAGGTGGGTGAGGAGGCAGAGAAAGAGCGCTCGGCGCCACCAGTTACCACTTCGGGGCCCCTTTGCCGCCCAGGAAAGCTTCCCTGTTGCTTCGCCCGACCGTCGACTTATTTCACTGGGGGGGGGGGGGGACGAGGGGAAAGGCCAGCCCAGCGTTGCCTCCAAAGTGCTTGCCAAATAACTTGTTTACTTGGCTGCCGCTGGGCCAGGAGCTACAAGGGAGGCAGGCGAGCGCTGGACTGCGGTATGTGGGAGAGAAAAAAATCCCATAAAGGGGACTGTTGGGCTGGCGCCAGGGCCACAGCTGGGGAGTTTCAAGCTGCCCTGCGCGGTGCACTGTAGTCTGCCGGACTTTCGCCTCAGCTTCCGATGAGCACTCGGTGACCTGGGTGTAACTCTCACAGTTCTGCAGTTGCAGCTGTGGAAATCCTGCCTTGACTGCAGCAATGAAGACACACAACCCTATGTCAGGGGAGAGTGGCAATTTCATTCTATCCCATATAACTCTTCTGGGTATTTTTAATACTCAGTTGCTTTTGGCTGAAGTGAAGGTAGAGTGTGGTACCTTTATAATGTACAGTACAGTAATTTGAAGTGGGAAACATAACTCTTATCATAATTTCATTCATTATTACCAGGATAACCTCCTTCTCTCCTAGTCCCATTGAAAAACTTGCAATTCTTGTGTCTTTATCCTCACTTTCTGTCTGTTCCTCTCTTGCTATATTTGTTATAGTACTCTAGTCTCCTGAGTCCAGAGGACTAAACATGCTACCAGAGAAAGATTCTAAAAAGCTTGGGGAGAGGGATCCCAAAGAAGACCCATCTGTCACTCTCTTTCGGGAGTATCTGAGAATCAAGACAGTCCAGCCTCAGCCTGATTATGGTATTAAGTCTAAAAATCTGTTGCACTGATAATCAGCATTTAGTACCTAAAACTTGTTACATAATGAGTGGGGGAAAGAATTACCTTTAACGTTATATCATGGGGTTTTTTTATTTTGAGAGAAATTTATGATCAGACTGTCCTATATTACATTACATCAATTATAATTATAATTTTTGATAGAAATGGAGTAGTGACAGATTTTATTTTTCTGGGCTCCAAGATCACCTCAGATGGGGACTGCAGCCAAGAAATTAAAAGTCGCTCCTGGGGAGGAAAGCTATGGCAAATCTAGACAGCATACTAAAAAGCAGAGACATCACCCTGCCAACAAAAGTGCGTATAGTCTGGGCCATGGTTTTCCCAGTTGCAATGTATGGCTGTAAAAGTTGGACCATAAGAAAGGCTGAGCGCCAAAGAATTGAGGCCTTTGAACTATGGTGCTGGAGAAGACTCCTGCGAGTCCCCTGGACTGCAAGGTGTTCAAACCGGTCAGTCCTAGAAGAGATCAACCCCGACTGCTCTTTTAAGGACTTCTTTCATTACACAGTTATGTTATGTGACTTGTTCCTTATGTCCAAAAAAGGAAGGTTAGATTCATACACTCCAGGAAGCCCTGAAGAAAATATTATTACCTATCTTTTACGTTTGGTTTGAAAGAGTTCCTTCAGGAGAAGAATCCCTCAAAAGCTAAATATCTGTTGGATGTTTGCTTGGCTAACGAAATTCTTAGGTGTAAAAGCTAAAGGTTTTCCCTCTTGCATTTTGGTTTTCTGGCCATATAAACTTATACAGCCAGAAATCTATACAATATGTGTTATATATAACCTATATAAACTTTCCTGAGAGTTAGGAGACTTTGCAAAACAAAAAGCAGTTTCAACATTTGCCTCCCTGTCACTATTTATGCAGACAAAATCCTTATGATTTCATCTGCGGGATAAATGAGGAAGTGTAACTCTTCAGAATGCCTCTTCTACGCATAGGGTTGATCTTGCACTATCTGGGGAAGAAACAGAGGCCATTGTGAGTTGCACTGTATAAAAATTGAATAAAGGAATTAATGGAAATGACAAGACTCAAGAACTTTTATAAACCGAATAAGGAATATATTTATTTAATTCTCACAGTGATTGCTATACAGTTTCTATATCCATCAGTTTATATTTAGGAATAGTTCCCAAAAGGAAGAAAGCATCAAGTTTGAGTTTTGAGTGAGCCCACTTATCGGTACGATGGTGATTGCTTGTTTATTTTGTTCTGTGTCTAATTATCTTTTAGCTTGATTTTCATGTTTCAGTATGATTATTGATTCTTGTCTACCCAAAGGGTTCATATTGTTTGGATGGCCATATAAATAAATAAAATAATACAAGTCTGCCTAGTTGATTTCTTCTCCCAGTGCCTGTTGTGTTCATGTAGAAAAATCAGTGTAAAGTGCAAGGCTGACCCCCATCTAGATTTTCATCGTTTTCATCATGGAGGAGCGAATGTTTTTACTGAATAGATTTGTAGAACTTCCATTGTAAACAAACCTGGAATAACATTCTGAAATCTGAAGGCCCCTATATTAATTCTAGAATGTTCAGTATGTCAGTATTTTGACAGTTTTAATAGTAGATGCTTTTATTTTAATTGTTTATGGACGGGGTGATGTCAGGGAGAACTAAAATACACCACTTTGAAATGTAAAGTAAAAAACAATGATGGCTTAGTTGACAGGAGTGCTAGAAGCACTACTTGTCTCTAAGACTCATTTATGGCTTTGGGCAATTTGCTGTATGTCTTTCCACAATAATGGTTGTCATCTTTAAAAATATTCATAGAATAATTAAATTATACATGTAATGGCTGACAAGTGAGCTTTAACACAGCTTGAAGAGATAAGACGGCCCAAGATTTCAAACTTTGTCCAATACCTTATCCTTGGGACAAAGTTTTAATTCAATTACTGCACCTGGGGAAAAGCTGTATAAAACTTGTACAGTACTGCCATTTTTAAAAAATTAAATATTGATTGAAATAAAAAGAGAAAGTGTGTCACTGACATGTGTAATTTTCATGATGGCTTCATATTTTCTTCCAGACACAGCAATAAAATTCCTGGAAAGAATAGCTTCTGAACTTGGTCTACAGTGTTTGAAAGTGGAGGTAAAATAATGATAAACCCTTGCACTTATGTGGATTCTGTTGCCTTTCACTTATGTGGATTCTATTGGTTTCTGAGTTGTTGCTGCATGGCCTCTTTGTGCTCATAATTTAGGAAGAAAATCAGCATCATTAATCTTTGTCTTGCAGGTTTAAGCTTTGAAATAAGGGCTTTAAAAAAATAAAACTTCACCAGCATATATTGTTATTGATAGCAAAATAATTGCTTTCTACAAGGATAGTTGGGGGGGGGGAGGATTTCACTATCTAACATTATCAGGAAATGTCCCATTAAAGTACTATGCAAAGTTAATATAATTTACTTTTTAGCTTATAAAAATGTCAGCTAGACACTGCTATCTGCTGAGTCAAAGTAAAGGAATACTGTCTCATATTTTACTGCTACAGCTCAGGATTTCAATTTCATTCCATTGTTAAAATAGATATAACGGTATATTTGGGCAATATTTGTTTGGGCAATTTTCCAAAGACATATTTCTGTGCATTGTTGCTTTACTCTGTCATCTGAGTTAATAATAAGGAATAAGATGGCATTCATTTCAAATTAGGAGGAAAAAAAGTGTAAGTCTGTTGTCAAACTATAATTTTAGATTCAGAGGTTTGAGATTCACCGAATTTCACTGACAGCCAGTATCTTATCCTTGTGGTCAGATATAGTTGCAGAGGGTATTGTTTCCCCTTATAAGGGCAGAGTAATATTATATATTGTTCTTGTTAAGGTTTTATTTAATGCTCTCCCAAGTCAGTATTTCCATTTCCAGATTACAAAAATACGAATTACTAAATGATTTTAACAAAGTTCAGTAGAACAGAATAAAGGCTTGCTAACTAGAATTATATTTAAAAAATAGTGACCCGAACATCTATCAAAATTAAACTCTTTTCTAGCACGTACTAATTATCCACAGGATAAAGTGGACAATTGGTGGAATTTTGTTTTTCGCAATTTACCTCTTTCAAATGTTTTTGCTATTGTGCTTCTCATCTGTTTCTTTTCCTCAGAGTTGTGTAAAGTTTTATTTCCTGTATAATTGCGAGCTGTGTACCCATGTTATAATTGCATATGTGGTGGAAATGCAGAGCTACACACATGTGGGCAGTAGATCAGTTCACATAGCTGTTTTCCATGAAATCTGCACGTGTCAATCAAAGAGAATAAATTCATGCTGCTAAAATTGGTTCAAGCAGTTGCATCATTCACATATAATTGTCTAGACTCTAGGGTTACAACATGGGGAAGTGGTTTCCATGTGTCTATGCAAAGAAGTGTATTATTGAGACAATGATCATTATTCAAAATCACTTAGATCATGTTATTTACCAGCCATAGTGTAAGCTGCTTACTTAGGCAGTGAATAAGTTTATAGAGAAAACAGATATTCCAAGTTTGTTATCTTAATAACTGTATCTTACTTCTAATTTCAAAGACAATGTATCTAAATATCAGTTACTGGCGACCAATAATCCTTATGTCCTGCTTGTAAACTTCCCAGATAAATTTGGGTATGAGTAATATGTTGGATGAAATAGATATTTGGCCTGATTCAACAAAGATCTATAACAATATTATTTAAAAGTGTTAGGCATTCTATATTATCATTTGATGTAATGTTCAAAAAAAAAATACTAGTGTTGGATAAATTTAAATCTGAATCTGCAAAAATCATGTAACTGATTTGATTGGCCTCACATAGCAGAATTTAGTTATGAGGATGAAAATGAGATAATAATACAAACAAGGACCCATTTAGGTTAGTTTAACTATCTTGGACAAAAAACAAAATAGACATGTAGTAAAACAGTTCCACTGACAGGTTTTTTTTTTATTTTTGATTCATTAGGGTCCATTGAATGCTAATTTTGATTAATTAGGGTACATGACATGAAGATAATTGATTCAGGCTTACTCTCAGGTGCCTGATTGAATCATAGTATGGTTTGTTTTAGATTATTATTTGTAGTTTGTAGTAAACCTGTTGGATCTGTGATCCTTTGAAGAACCTCCTATCCAGTTTATCTGTTATTACAGGTTTATCTATATCCAATAACCGAGCCTGACCTTTTCAGCTTTATGTGCCGCATTTAGACTGATACTTGTTGCAAAATGAACGCTATGGAGAATGTTTTTACTAGGAAAAGGCAAGAAATATCATTTTGCTAGGCTGTTCTCCTATTTCTATTCCTGTGATAAAACCAATTCTCCCCAGGTTGGCTGAGCTGAAAGTGTTAAAATGCTCCTACGTAAATGAATCATTTCAAGAACTGGAGCTTGCCTTCTTTTAATATTTATGGTAATCAGAACCAGTTTTATAAAACTGAATCAACTACCAGACTGTTAAGAGTTTCCCAATGCCATTTGGAGTTTCTGTGGCTCCCTCTAGTGCCATCTGGAATTTCTCTAAACAGAAAATTAAAATTGGGAAGCAGTAAATGGATCTTGAATATATGGTACTTTGGAGCTGCCTGAAGCGACAATAGAAAAAGAAGGCATGTCTGTTTGGATGCTGAGAATCATTTTGTACTTCCCATTGAATTCTTTTCTTTGCAGCTGCTTATATCTGAAAAGCAGTTTTATATGTATAAATATTATATGTAATGATTATTGCTTCCCCTTTCTGTGTCTGTACTTCTACTATTGTTTTCAGTGTCTGGATTCACGTAGCATACTAAGATATAATGACAGGGTCTTGAGCAAAGTGCTAGGTTAGATATAAGTTATCTAGCAAAAGTAACTTATCACACAAGTCAGGATTTCAGCAATGAAACTGAAATTCTTAGCGATCATACTGTCTGCTTTTTCTTATTAAATTTAATAAATTATTTTGCCATGTTCTTAAAACTTTTCAAATTCAAATTTTATTTTATAAAATTTTCTTCTCACCATGAAAAGAGAGGAGGATGTGTATAGCATGTGCAGTTACTGAAAGCTACACAAAGTGAGTCCTATTTTCCAAAATGACACAAAGAAGAATCCCATCTAATGTAATTTTCTGTTGCAGGTCTGCCCTGACCGTGTGATCACCATTCTGACTTGGCAAGGCACAAACCCACAACTCCGCTCCATCTTACTGAATTCTCATACAGATGTTGTGCCCGTATTTGAGGTTAGGAGATCACACTGGGGATTCAGTAGCAACTTTAACCTTGCTGGAAAAGAGAGTTGAGGGATGATTGGGTTCCTTCCTCAAAATAAGCTAGGCAACATTATTCCAGGGGAGAAGTGGTGGGTCTTATCTTCCTCTTTGCTATTTCTTGTTTTAATTTACAGGTAGTCCTCGACTTGTGACCGTTCAAAGTTACAGTGACAGTGAAAAAAGTGACTTGTCACTGATCCTTGCACTTAAAATCATCACAATGCCTCCGTGGTCACGTAATCGTGATCCAGGCACTTTTGCAACTGGCTTGCATTTACCATAGTTGGCAGTGATCACCCTTTGCCTTCCACCACTTTACATCCAGCTTCTGACAAGCCAGGTCAGAAGCTGGGAGGTTGGCAGGAAAGATCGCAAAGTGAGATCACGTGATGTCTCAGTGACCGTGGTGATTCACTTAATAACCACAACAAAAAAACCTCATAAAATCAGGTGTGGTCATTTGATTCCTCATCGAACTACTTCACTGTTTAACAATGAATTTATGGTTCCAAGTATGGTTGTAAGTTAAGGACTACGAGCCATGGTGGCGCAGTGGTTAGAATGCAGTATTGCAGGCTAATTCTGCCGACTGCCAGGAGTTCGAGTCTCACCGGCTCAAGGTTGACTCAGCCTTCCATCCTTCCTAGGTCGGTAAAATGAGGACCCAGATTATTGGAGGCAACATGCTGACACTGTAAACTGCTTAGAGAGGGCTGTAAAATCTAAGTGCTATTGCTATTGCTACCTATATGCGAGAATCAGATTATATTGCTTTTATGAAGATGATAAAAATTCTTATGTGCACCATTAACAGCATATGAAAATTCCTTTCCTCTCTGGAAATGAAAAGATGAATTATAGGATGAATCTCATGATTTTTAAATCAAGGTAGGATCTGCATTTTATAACATTTTCAATTCTTAGATTTGTAGGAACTAAAACACTATGGGGGAAAATAAAAATCTTATTAACTAGTGGTTGTTTAATAAAGAAATTTTATTTTACTGTAGATATTTGCAGTGAAAAAGTGATTGTTTGGTATATCTATTTATAATATCGCACCAGCAGGCAACTCCTCATAATAACAGTGGAGTAAAGAGAAATCAAACAACTTGCTTATTTATTTACTTACTATCAGAGCAGGAAATTGATGCTGCTTATATAAGCACTCAAGATGGTATACAACAATAACTATATGAATAATAATTCTTAATGATTATAGGCTGTCAAATTGCAAACAAAAAGATGATGGATGCAAGGGAGGACTTTGTAAGCCAAGAGGAAATCTATATTTTCAACGACTAGAAGTATATCCCAGAATGGAAAGAATGGATAGATGTAATATAGCCTCCACTCAGTAGATTATTTTATTTCACATTGTTTACAAAGTAGTCCACACAACTGACAAACTTTATGGCATTGTATCAGTTTATATAATTATCCAAGCAACATAAATGATCTCAGCTACATAAATTTTCACTTAACAGACTAAACAGACATTCATTCTGTGAATGAAGGCAAATATACCGGTACATGTCCCAGGATAATGTTGCAGGATCCAATCTGAGCCGGTCACTGGGATCAGAGGTTCATTCTTCCAAGCTTTTGGACTCATACTGGAGCCCATCCTCAGGGAACATTCATTCCTTCCATTGGTGGGTTAAGTGTGTTTGTATAGAGACATTTCAGATTAAACTGCAAGGAATATAATAAGCAAAGAAAGTAAAAATTGGTGTATTTTCTTGGTTTCAGTGGAAAAAAGAGCACAAAGGGCTACACTTTAGTTGATCCTAATTCTTTGGCATCCTGAGTTTGTCCTCAGAAGGAGGACTGATGTTCCTCGCATCTACTCTGAAATATTCCAAAATGTTAAGACTTGAGCAAAAAGAAAAGCAATGATGACTGATAAAGTCGTTCTAGGGGTCTCCAGAATTCCTCACTGAAACATGGTATGGAATATAGTACAAACATAGGATATAAAGAGTTTGTGCTTCAGATCCTAACTGTTCAGAGGAGAATACAAACACAAAGCTTAGGGGAATGAGATAAGTGTCAGAATCCAATTATATTTCATCTTTAATTATCAAACATAGAAACTCCCAATTCTGCATTAGACAGGACTTGCAAAATTAATCCACCTGGAAGGAAGACCCTTGCCGGGGGATTTTGCAAAAATTTACCATGTCAGACAATGGAGCAAAAGAGGGGGAAAACTCCCTGGAAAGAGAGCCGCTGACCCAGTTGGAACCTTGCCAGATGTTGGGATCCGAGAGGCCAGATTCCTCAGGAGAAGAAGTGGTGGAGACACAGGACCACAAGCCTCGCTGGTCGATGGGCGTTGGAAAGAAAAGTGAGTGGGGAAAGGAATCAAGAAAGGTGACCCTGAGACGGGGGACCAAGCAACCAGAATGGAAGCAGGAGATGGAGAAATCCCTGCACGCAAGTGAAGAGGGAGGAAGCTGGGCACCGTACTCAGACTGGATCCTAGAGAAAGCTATTGACCTGATGAAGAGAACTCTCAGCTCCCTAGGAGAGGAGAATACTGAACCCTACGGCTGCCCCAGTTCCTGGAGCCGCAAAGGGAGAGACACCGAGGGGAACGTGGAACCTGCAACCCCAGGGACATCTACTGATCCAGGAGCTCCCACCCCCTACCGGACCACAGATGGCAATCTGGACGGAAGGCACTACCACCCACAACAGAGGCACCGATCCATTCCAAGACGTCCACCGTTGGAAGTGAAATTCAAAGGGGAGCCAACACGCTTGGGATTTTTCCTAACCCAAGTCCTCAGCTACATGGAGGAATATGGGCAGGATATTCCCAGCGACAAAGCCCGCATCCGGATCGTGCAATCTGCCCTGGATGGACCAGCTGCGGATTGGGTAGTGAACTTGCATGACTCCAATGCCCCAGAACTCAGTAACTTCAACCGTTTCATGTCCTCTTTGAGAAGACGATTTGAAGACCCCCTGGCTGATCGCAAAGCCCGTGAAAAAAATAACAACGATGAGGCAGGGCAAACGCCCAGTGGCTGAGTATACACAAGAATTCCGGGCCATTGCCAGCAAACTGAATTGGCCAGAAGACATCCTCCTTGGCCATTTCAAAGACGGACTAAACTATGATCTATATGATGCTTGCCTGCCCCGAGGGGACCCACATCGACTTGAGGAATGGTACGTCTTGGCAGAGGAAGCAGAGATCGACATATTGAAGAGGCACCGCCGAGGAAAACAATGGAGCCGCCCCCCGCCTGAGCTGACACACCAACCGGTGAAATCATCGGATACAGCCAAGAAGCAAATGAGATGTTTCAAGTGCGGAAGAGAAGGGCATCGAGCTGTAGAATGCCGCTCAAAGGCCCCCCAGCACAACCCAGACAGATCCCCAATCAACAAACCCGGAAAGTATTCAGCTAAGCCAAAAGAAACGGCCATGAGAATGATGGAAATTGCAGAAACCCCCACCTCTGCTCACCAAGGGGAAAGAACTCCAGCCTACACCACAGGGCCGGTGGATGCCTCAGATGACAGCTCGGAGGGCGAACCCCTGGTAAGTGGATGCATCACACCCATCTTCAAAACAGTGACTATATTAATCCCCCCCATGCCCGAAGCTGTGAAGGTGAAAGCCTTAATAGACTCTGGCTGTACCCGCTGCCTCATTAGCCCAACACTAGTGGGGAATCTGGGCATCCCATCCAGGAGACTGGAACAACCAATCTCATTTGGCCAGCTAGATGGATCCATAGCAGGGGGGGTGCCAGCTACCCTAGCCACTTTGCCAATACATCTCTCCCTGGGCAACCATGAAGAGGACTTAACGTTTGTGGTGACCCCAGGTATGGAATGCCCAATGATTCTAGGGATGGAATGGTTGAAAAAATGGAACCCCTGGGTAAATTGGAGGACGACAGAAATCAAATTCCCGAAGGGGGACCCTATGGACTTAAAACCCCAAGGGAGGCTACCAGAATCAAGAATAGAAAAAGCATCCATAGGAGAGGAAAAAAGATTAACAGAAATACCAGAGGAATATAGGGACCTTGCTGAAGTCTTCAGTGAGGAGAGGGCGAATGAGCTTCCCCCCCACCGACCCACAGACTGTACCATTGAATTCAAGCCTGGGGCAAAACTCCCGAAGCCCAGATTATACTCCATGAGCCCAAAGGAGAAGGAGGAAATGGAAAGATTTATAAAAAAAAACCTGGAGAGAGGTTTCATTGAGCCAGCCAAGCCTAAAGTGGCTGCCCCGGTCCTTTTTAGAGAGAAGAAGGATGGCTCCTTACGTTTATGCGTGGATTATAGGGCCCTGAATACAATCAGTGAAAGCAACCTATACCCGCTGCCCCTCATGAAAGACATGCTGTCACACCTATCGAAAGGGAAAATTTTTTCTAAACTAGACTTAAGGGAAGCTTACTATCGAGTAAGAATCAAGGAAGGGGACGAATGGAAGACTGCATTTAACTGCCCCATGGGGTGCTATCAATTCAAAGTCTTGCCATTTGGATTACAAGGGGGCCCTGCAGTCTTTATGCAATTAATCAATGACGTTCTAAGGGAGCACCTGTTTAAGGGGGTCCTTGTTTACTTGGACGACATTCTTATCTTTACCGAAACAAAAGAAGAACACGTCAAACTTGTCAGAGCGGTTTTAAAGAAGCTGCGAGCCGCTCACCTATATGCCAAACTCTCAAAATGCGAATTCCACCAGGAAAGGATAGACTACCTAGGCTATCGCATATCCCCACAGGGCATTGAAATGGACCCAGAGAAGGTCAGAGCAGTATTAGAATGGGCACCACCCCGCACAAGAAAGCAACTACAAAGTTTCCTGGGCTTTGCAAATTTTTACCGCCAATTCATCCCCTCATTTGCACAGATAGCCTTGCCCCTCACTAACTTACTAAAAACGAAGGGAACATCCTCAGTAAAACCTAGCCAGCCACTAAAATGGACAATGGAGTGCCAAGCAGCGTTTGAGAGACTAAAGAGACTTTTTTCTGCCGAACCAGTACTAAGGCACCCAGACATGGACAAACCCTTCATAATACAGGCAGATGCAAGTGATGTGGCAGTGGGGGCTGTGCTATTACAAGAAAATGATGATGCAGTATTGCAACCCTGTGCATATACATCTAAGAAACTCACGGAAACAGAACAGCGCTGGCCCGTATGGGAGAAGGAGGCTTATGGGATACGTTGGGCATTACTCACGTGGCGACAGTTCCTGGAAGGCAACAAAATCCCCTTCCAGGTATGGACTGATCACAAAAATTTAGAAGCCCCTGAAAACTCCAGGAAACTCAATCCCAAACAAGCCCGCTGGTCCCAGCATTTTCACCAATTCCAATTTAAGCTCAAACATTTACCAGGAAGAAAGAACTTCCTGGCAGATGCACTATCTCGCATGCCCCAATATAACAGCGCACGAACCACAGACTCTAGACCAATAATGGCAGAGTCACAACTGGCAGCGCCAGTAACCACAAGAACCCAAGCCAAAATAAAACCACAACTGGACAGCCAAACTGGGATTGAATTCAGAAAAAGTTTGGAAACAGATGATTGGTTCCAGAAAAACAAACATGTGTGCACAATGAGAGACGGATTGCCTTGGGTAGGGGAAAAGTTATATATACCAACAACTCAAAGACTAACTTTCATGCAACTTTGCCATGACACAAAATCAGCAGGGCATTTTGGATTTGTAAAAACTTTACACTTAATTAAACGGCAATTTTGGTGGCCATCAATAAAAAAGGACATAGAAAGTTATGTTGCCAGCTGCCCAACCTGTGCATCAGCAAAGAGGTTGCAAGGGAAATCGCCAGGGCTGTTACAACCAGTGGCAAGTCCCTCAGCCCCCTGGAGGGAAATAGCCATGGATTTTATAGTGGAATTGCCTGAAAGCAATGGGAATACTGTTATCTGGACAGTCACGGACCTATTTTCCAAACAGGTGCACTTTATCCCTTGCCAAAAAATTCCCACTGCAAAGGCCTTAGCAAAACTTTTTATCCAGCACATTTACAGATTGCACGGGGCACCCCAACGCATCATCTCTGATAGGGGAGTGCAATTTACGTCTACATTTTGGAAGGAATTTTTATCCCTCTTAGGGACCACTCAGGGACTGACATCTAGCCATCACCCTCAGACAGATGGACAAGCGGAACGCTGCCAGTCGGTACTTGAGCAATATTTGAGATGTTTTTTAAATTTCCAACAGAGTGATTGGACGGACTTACTTCCTTTTGCAGAAGTTGCCTACAATAATGCAGTCCACTCCAGCACAGGCTACACTCCTTTTCAAATAGCCAACGGCCAAAGTTTCAACCCTATGCCAGAGTTAACCCCAAAAGAACCAACGATCCCTTCACTGAAAGAATGGATGGAAAACCTACAAAACACCTGGCCAATAGTCAGAAAATCACTAGATGAAGCTAGGCGGGCATACAAAGCACAAGCCGATAAAAAAAGGGTTGAGCCTACACCATTCATTATAGGAGAAATGGTGTACTTATCTACAAAATACCTAAAGTCCCTACAGCCCTGTAAAAAACTTGGACCAAAATATATAGGACCTTTTCCAATTAAAAGGATCATAAATCCAGTAACAGTAGAATTAGAATTACCCAAAAACCTCAGGCAAATACACCCAATTTTTCATTGCAGCTTGCTGAAAAGAGAGCATCAGTCACCTCTACGGCCAAAAATCCCCCCCCCACCACCTCCAATCATGGTGGAGGGGGAACAACACTTCGAAATAAAAGAGATCCTTGACTCTAGGAGATATCGTGGAACAACTCAGTACCTAGTTGCCTGGAAACACCTCCCTGCCTCACAAAATGAGTGGGTCCATAAACGTCACGTCAGAGCCCCGAAGCTATTGAAGAAGTTTCACACAGAGTATCCTAACAAGCCTAACTAAATTTTTTACTTGTGTTTTCTTTCAGGTGGATCTCTCTTATTGTTAAGAGGGGCCGGATGTCAGAATCCAATTATATTTCATCTTTAATTATCAAACATAGAAACTCCCAATTCTGCCTTCTCTGGATTCTGCCATAAGAGGGAGAAAAGGGGGAGAGCAAAGGGGCTTTATGGCCCTCACTTCCTTCAGCACACTTCAAAGGACTGAATGTGTGTTTATTGTGGCCTCTAAGCTTTAACATATCAAAGAAGAGTAATTGCCTTTCATGTAGTTATCTGAAGTCTCCATCCAGACGGAAGAAGAAAGGGGATGGAATTGTGATACTTGAAACTATCACTGGAAGGGGGGTTGATTGGGTGGGACTACTGGGGAACCCCTTAAAACCTTGAATGGGAGAGCTTGAACCCCAAGTCCTGTCTAGCATGCCTGCAACCATTTTCTCTTAATAAAGGATTCCTGTTGGAAGAATTATTCCAAGAGTTCTGTCTTCTTAAGATGCAAAGTGGGGTGGGTCCTCACAATAAGAAAGAAATATCACTTCAGTGTGTAATTTTTGTTTAGCACACTGTCCTGAAATAGTTAAGCCCAACACTTTAGGCTTAACTACTGGAGGAATAAATTTAAAAAAAAAAAACCAATAATTCGAGAAAAATGACATTGCTTTCTTTCCAGCCATGAGTCTGACTCTAAAATTGTGGTCCATATGCAGTATAAGAGACTGCATATTTGTTCCAGAGAAATCTTTTGAGCTTGTATTACAATTGTACTTAGTGGTGGGATTCAGATATGTGAACAACCAGTTCTCTGTGTGGATGCCGCTTCCGGAAGTCCATTCTGGGCCTGGGCAACAAAAAATTAGCTACCGGTTCTGCTGAACTGGTGCGAACTGGCTGAATCCCACCACTGGTTGTACTACTATAGTTGAAAATTGCTACAAAACTAACTGCTCCATAGTTGCTGAGATTTTATTGCAGAATAAATAGTAGAATTGGTTAGCATAAAAACTCTGGTTTAAAAAAAGTGGTTCTGAGCGAGGAAGCTCTATGAAATGTTACTGTAAATCCAGAAACCTTCTGAAAAATTTGGAACTAGATGATGGAGAGTTCTAAATGAAGCTCCCAGCTTCAATTAAATTACCATAGAAGATTTACAGACTTACCAACTTTCGGCAATGATAAAAGGAGGCAATTAACCTAATGCCTTCATGATTATTTTGCTCCTGGTTACCTTGCAGCTTCCATGCTTTGCAAAATTTCCCAGAAAAACTACACAAACACAGAATCCAAAAAGCATGTTTCCAGGACTTCCGGTCCTGCACGGTAGAGACTGGTCATGGGCTTGCGGTCTGCCGCACCCCCACAGCTAATTTTCGTTCTGTCTGGAGACCCAGCCTAATGGGTCCAAGCTGCCCCGGAGAGGTGGCGAAGAAAGAAGGGTGCCCCGGTGACTCTGGAATGATGGAGGTCATTCCGTTCGTCTTGGGGAAAGCCTTCTAACCCAACCTACTTGCAACCGAAGTCCAAAAGAACTAACCAGCACAACAGTAAAGAGCATGCTTGAAACTGGGCGAGGAATCTGATTTTCCCTTTTCTATTCTACACTTAATTTCCTGGAAAAGATCTCCAAGAAGCAAAATACCTCCAAAAGTGAAGGAGGGGGACTTCCACCCCACCCTTATACTACCAGAAGCGGTGAATTAAAATTTCCACGGAGGATCAAAACATATGGTAGTCAAATAAATTTATAAACTTGAAAGCTAAAATTTAACTTTGGACAAGTTTAAAATTGTTGAATGGTTAAGACTCATTTTAAAACTAAATAGATGCTGACACCTAGTGGTGGTTGAAGATTATGACAGTTATGATTTCCATAGAGAACTTGCCAAAACCTGGGAAAAACTAATCTGTGTTTGTGACCTTCAAAGCTTTAATAACAAAGAACAGCTGTGACAAAAAAAGACAACAATCTGGGCTTCAGACAAAGAGAATTATAAACTTTAGAAAAAAAATCTTTTTTGAACTCTGTGGATTACAAATATCTATTTAACCGGGACTCTAAAGCTATTTGCCAATAAGAAGGAAAAGTTCAACTTTTGGCCATCATGAACCAGAGATATGTAGATAGAACACACCAAGAAAATATAAATACCTCTCAGAAGGAGATATATAGTATACTGCAATTAATTCAAATAACACTGAGTTCAAATCACAAAGAAATCCAAAATAACTTTGAAAATATAAATCAATCTATTTCTAAGTTAACTCTACAACAGAAAACTTCCAGGAAATAACAAAAAGCATGTTTCCAAAAGTCATTCTTGCTGAACTCAGAAGCAAGTTTTTCAAATGTTTCCTAGTTTCTCAAGTTAGGAAATGTGTAGGTTTATGTAGATTTGTCCCCAGTACTGTAAGATGTCACTGAAAACAGTCAGGCTTTTCCTTTAAGGTCTTAGCAGGCTGCCCTAAGGGCAAAGTCTCATTTCTGATCCATTCACATTTTTCTAATTGTTTCCTGTTCTTTCCTACAGGAATATTGGCAGTATGATCCTTTTTCGGCTTTCAAGGACTCTGAGGGAAATATCTATGGACGGGGAACTCAAGATATGAAATGTGTATCTATCCAGTACGTGAAACCCAACTTGTCCTTCTACTTATGTTCTAGAGTCTAGACCAGGGGTAGGCAACCTTGGCTCTTTTATGACTCGTGGACTTCAACTCCCAGAATTGCTGAGCCAGCCATGCTGGCTCAGGAATTCTGGGAGTTGAGGTCCACGAGTCATAAAAGAGCCAAGGTTGCCTACCCCTGGTCTAGACAGTACAAAAGACATCTATTTAATAAGGAAAGCTACTTTGGCATTTTGTCTTGCAAATGATGAAAGTGAAGGGATGTGACCAAGGGAATAGTTTGCACGAAGAGCCTTTTAGTTACGGCTGTGAAGCTGGTAGCAATCAATACATAATTAGATTTGTTAATCCTGACTGATTTGATTCTGTGTTATTATGCCATATTGTTTCATAGTGACAGCATAGATCAGGGATTGGCAATTAATTTTCCCAAGGGACCACATGGGGAAACTGGGACTGTTGACGAGGGCCAAACCAAAAGAGCTATGAAGGTATATAGGCAGAGACACACGCACATATGTAAATTGAAAAAAAGTGATCACTTTCAAAATAAAAGCAATGCACTTGTATTGCATGCATGGCTTAGGTGGCACTGGTTTACTGGGCTTCCAGTAGCCCGAGGAGGGTTGGGTTCACCCACCTGTGAGAGGGGCTGGCCTGCCAGGCTTGCCGAGGTAGTTAACTTCCCCCTCTTTGGAACGTCTGGCAGTTAAGTGCTATTTAATTTCCAATTGACCTCACATGGGCCGGACAGAGACCACCAAAGGGTCAGAAGTGGCCCAGGGCCTATAAAATACCTAGGTCTGACTTAGATAGACTTTCTCTACAATAATCTGTCTCTAATCTAGTCCTTCAGGTAATCCATAATCTCTGTAACTGAGTCCATCCACCTTGCTCTTGATTACTTTCTTCTCTTTCCTTCTATGTATCAACTGGCTGCCTATCAACATAAAACTGATCAATATCACCCCATTTGCTCAGGTTTAATGCTGTATTTAAAAGATGAGCTGCTTTGTATAAATATAATATACATTGTAATGGTTTTGTCCCTTATCTTATTTTCTTCTTTTTCTGTTTGTTTTTATTGTTATATCTTTTTACCTTCAATTCTGTTTATTAATGCAATTAAATAAAAATTGTATCTCACTAGCCAAAAAACAGCAGGCTGGAATAGGGAGATTGCTGCTGCATTCAGAAGATGCTTTGCCTTGCAAGGCACGTTTTAGAATTCAGGGAATTTTGATCCAGACTCCAGCTAAGTGTTTGCTCCTTTCCAATATCCAACAGCCATCATCAACACATACACACTCCTTTTTCTTAAAAACACTGTTTATCTTTTTAACGAGCCACTAAATAAGACATTTTTTATTTCAGATACCTAGAAGCCATACGGAGGCTGAAAGCTGAAGGAAGACATTTTTCACGAACCATTCATATGAGCTTTGTCCCAGGTGAGTTAAATAGGCACATCATATAATCATGTGTCTCTTAGTTTTTGCTCAAAATGATAGATCATAGAAGGGGGAAAAATTGCAACTCGGCACCATAGGGTTCATTCTGCTTTCATGTGCAAAGAGGTCTCCCTAATGGTCTGCTGAGGACATATTCTCACAACAGAACATCTCTTGTGTGTCCATTCAGCAGCAGCCCAAAGTCAGGCTAAGATATTCTGGCATAAAAATAATGGTATGCTGGCAGAAAATTTCCCATGTGGACATTCTAGGATATGTGGAGGAGAAACCTTTAGAGATCAACAGTCTACTAGCTTCTGTTGGCCTGCTCCAAAATTGCCCTGTCCCAACTGGCTGGTGTTTCATGTCTACTGTCATTCTTGCTCTGGTTGCCATACTGGCACACTTTTTCTGTTTTGTTATTGTTCAAACATGGGAGCATGTTTTGTGTCTTCCACAAGATAAGTGTTTCCATTGAGATGCAAAACTAAAATCTTAGTATGTGGCAGCCCCCTTGAGCCCAAGGCCTTTCCTTCATCTAGGAGCTTCTCTTCTTCCAAATCAAGAGTCACACATTGTTTTTTAAAAGTTCTGTTTACAAGAATACCCAGAAATCGATGCATATACGGCTAGGGTTTTAAAAACCATTGTGCGATTTTCAGAGCCCTGAAAATAATTAAAGAGTTGAAGCTTGTGATTCTAAGCATGCAGTGCTGGGTCAAAAGTGTGATTCAATAAAAAGGGCTTTCAGAGTTACTGAAAGCAACTCTTCCATGGAAGCATCAGAGCCAGCTGGAGCAGAGATACAAGGACAGCCACTAGCAGTTCATTTTTCCTAATAGATAATTCTGCAAGGAAGGGAAAAGGAGAAGAAGTAACTCATCCAGCCACAGCTCTGAAACCTTTTTATGCTGTCATATTTTTGACTTCAGGACAGAAGCCATTACTGTGGATATGTGGAGAAGTTCTTGTTTAGGGTTGGTGATATTATTTCCCCAGGCAAACGACATGCAAGCTAAGTAGCCTAGTAAAACTGACAGAAGCCAATAAAGTATTTAAACATTTTCAGTACGGATTTGCAATAAAATATTTTCAGTATATTGTTTTGGAAGAAACACATAGATTTCATTTCTGCAGGAAAACCTCAAAACTACATCTTTATCACTGTTGGTTAAACAATATGGGGAGATTAAGTAAAACATATAGAAGACAAGAGAATATTTGTAACTCAGGTTGAGTTTTTACAGATCACCCGCAGATCTTACAGCAAAAGGCATATTCACACAATTTTATCAAAAAGTGCCTGACCATTTAACCCACTACAATACAACCAACACAAGCTATGAAAGAGATAACGCTACCATACATCAAAAATATATCAAAAACAACCAATAGAATATTACAATGACATGCCATCACTATAGCCCACAAATCAACTAAAGCCCTCCAAAACATTGTAAGTAAATCAAAAGACCTGATAGCTCTGGAAGAAAAAACAGGAGTCATCTACAATATATAATATAAGCATTGTTCCAGCCACTGAGTAGGACAGACAGGCAGAAGACTAGCACAGTGCATCCATGAACACTAACTAGCAGTCAGAAGACATGATGAAAACTCCTTAATTTTACAACACATAGACAGAGGTAACCATAGTTTCAACTGGGAATGTGTGAGTAGCCTAGACCAAACTAAATTTAATATGCTGGAGAATTCCTGGAAGCTTAGGACTCAGGCAAATCAGCCATTAACAGCATATAGATAAAAATAGCATCTACATTTCATTCAAATAAAAAAGCTAAAAAGGAAATAAAAAGTCCAAAACCTTACCAGTAATCAATACTCAAATAAGTAGGGAATAACACCAGGATTAATAGTAGACCAACAATGAAACAGTAAATATACCAGTTAAGGAACTATCAACTTAGACAAACAACACCCTAATCAAGAAACTACCAAGAAGAAAACAATATTCCCAGCAACATCTAAAGGGCAAGCCACAATATATATTCAGAGCAAACCCCACTTCCCTCCTGAAAATGTAACCTAATTGTGTAATGAAATATCTGCAAGAAAATGACCAAGCTCAGCATCAAGGATTCCATAAAACATACATGTTCTATATCAGGACAGAAAGCTATATTTAGGATGGAAAAATATGTAAAGAATGAAAGATAAATCATTGGTCAAAATTTCATTGTAAGGTTGATTAGCTGTTTTTATTACTAATTTGTAATGTCAAGGTTAAAATTCAAAAAACCCCCACAAACTGCAGCAGTTGTTTCCTTTAATACTTCTATCAAATCATAATTTATAGCTTTAATAACTGTGTAACTATTCTATATCAAACCTCTCTGTTTAGTGTCCATGTTGCCTCTCAGCAACCAAAGAAGAACAATGACTCTTGATTTCCTGGGTGGCTGCTTGTTCCACAGATAACCCAGAAGTAGCGGCAGCTGGGTGGAATGAGAAATTTCTGATGATGGTGATGGATTTCTTTAGCCAGAGAAAGAAATTATTCACTGATTGATTTCTCGTTTTACTGCAAGATTATCTTTGGATCATATTAGATGGCATGTGGAGAAGATAATTAAATTCAGAAATAGTTAGCTGCAACACTATCGTGATGCCTTTTTAAAAAATGGTAATAATACTTTTAAAAAAAATCACACTGCCTCCAAATTTGGATTAGGACCCTAGTATTGGGGAAGAGAGATCAACCTTTTATCTTGACATGGTTTCTTTGATAATTCATTTCCTTCATCCCCTCTGTTCCTGTTATCAAGCAGCATACTACTAGGGGTGTGTACTCTACTCCAGGGCTTACAGTAACTTTGGGGAAAAATTGAAAAATGATGGAGAGGCTTTTGAGCAAATAAATCATTTGGAATCTTCTCTGTGGTTCTACTCTGTTCTTTTGTTGCATCCCAGTGAGACTACACTTGCGGTCTCAAATGTGATGTCATGTTCCATTAAACAGAGTGATTGCTTTCCTGATTAATAGCAAGAAACAATTAGTGCATTATAAATTTTGGGGCAAACACACACACAAAAACCAATGAATGGGTTTTGGAGAAAAAGCATTTTTTTTTTTTGTTCCTTGTGGGTTATGCTAGTACAAAGAGAGGAGGCCCCCTGCGTGCCAGATTGCAAAGCACAAAAGCTTTCTTGGTTCCTAGTGGGAACTTCACACTGTAATTAGCTCTTCAAATATTTCCACTCTGAAATGCTGGTTTGGAGATCAAAGCAAAAGAAGTAACTGTTTGGGCTTTCTTTTTCATGCAGATGAAGAGATTGGGGGCCACAAGGGGATGGAATTGTTTGTGAAGACTCCAGAGTTTGCAGCGCTTAATGTTGGCTTTGCCTTGGATGAAGGTGAAAATCCATAGTATGGCACTTGTGAAGCACTTTTGGAATTGAAAAATATGCTGTAACTGAAATCATTTCCCTTTTTTTCTTAATAAAATTATTCTTTGTAATAACTTAGTTTTTTTTCTCAAAGCTGTATGACTATGTAGGCTTGTTTCTCAGAAGAGAGGCCTATGCAGCCTGGGTGCAGATTCTGTACTTGCCAGTAATAATAATGTTTCCCTCCCCCCACATGAATACAAAGCCAGTTAGTTGATGCTGTAGTCACTTGCCAAAAGGCTTTGAAGAAAACTTCTTCTATATTTGAACAGCATTTGTTATTTATGATTGTTGTTTTGTTTTCTCTAGGCCTGGCAAACCCAACGGACACTTTCACTGTATTCTATGGCGAGAAATGCCCATGGTGTAAGTAAGATCTGAAATGTTGTACTTCCTCTCATTTATTTTCTTTTTAATCTGCATCATCCTAAAACAAGGATCTCCAAACTTGGTAACTTTAAGACATGTGGACTTCAACTCCCAGAATTCCTCAACCAGCATGGCTGGCTGAGGAAATCTGGAGTCCACATATTTTAAACTTGTCAAGTTTGGAGACCTCTGTTCTAAGATCTATATTGAAAACCACCTGCCATATCTCTGTCAGAGATAATGCATGAATTCTTTTGAACAGTTTCTGGAGTTTTGTCAGTTTTATATATATATATATTCTTAGTTGCAACTGCATTTCTTTGCCACATTGGTTTTCACTAAGTAGAACTGTAGTCCCAGTTACATCACTGGATTGATGTAGAATTTTAGACCTCCCCTGATGCCTGTTATTTTATAGTTTGGAATTTCACTAAAGGCATTCTGAAACTTTTTGATATTTTATAGTATATACCTGCAATTTAATTTAATACAAATGTTAAAAATTGATTCTCTGAAAACTCAAAAATACTGCAGTTGATGTTGGCAATTAAATGTAGTTATTAGCCTTTACCTGTGTATCTGCAAATTATAAATATATGTCATATGTATAATGTGTGTATGTGTGTGTGTGTGTGTGGTGTGTATATATTTATTGTTTTTATTATTGTGTTTATTATATTCTATTTTATTATAAAAGAGGATATATGCATTATCTTTTCCCCCAAATATTATTTATAAATTGCAAGAAAATATGTAAAATGTAAACATATTTTTAAAAAGCAACAAAAAGAACATACACAATTAACAAGACAAACTTAAACAGAGAAAAAGGATTAATAGAAACAAAAGAAATAAAAAATGCTGGTTTCTCTTCAAAAGATACATGCATTATGGTTACATCTACAGATAGAAGTTGAGTTTTATGGATCATTTGTTGCCACTTTCAATGTGAAGAAGCAAGCCTCTTCTTTTAGAAAAGCTGTTCACTTCTTTGAAACAATAGTTTATCTGTTAAGTATAGCCCTGTGCTTCAGTGTACTGTTACTTCTTTGGAATATGGCATACTTTCAAGTGGAAGAGAAAGATATGTTGTGTGTATGTATATGTATGTATGCATGTATGTATCTCTAGCATCATAGCGGAGGCTGTGTTGCAGCAGTTGGAACACATAGCGGTGGCCCAGTGTTGTCCTAAATTCTGGGCTCGCTATGTGGATGACACGTTTGTCATCATTAAGAGGAGCCAAAAAGCTGGCTTTGTGGACACACTTAATTCAGTGTGTGTGGACTTGCAGTTTACGGAAGAAGAACACCAGGGTAAATTGGCATTTCTTGATGTCTTGGTTCATCGCCAACCTAATAGAACCCTGAGGACCAAGGTCTACTGCAAGCCCACACACACTGATAGAATTTTACACCATGATAGTAACCATCCGGTGTCCCACAAGGCCAGCTATATCAGAACACTCTTCAAGAGGGTAGACTCCCACTGCAACACGGTTAGAGCTAGGATGGATGAAAGGAAGCACCTTTTTAAGGTGTGCAGGCACAATGGCTATCCCATGAAATTTATCAGGCACCATAGTCTACCCCTTAGACTTCTGTTAGGTCTCAAACAGAGAAGCCAACACCACAGACAACCCGTGTCACCCTCCCTTATATTAGTAACATCTCAGAGGCCACGGCTAGGTTATTGGCACCCTACAACGTGAGGGTGGCACATAACCCCAACCAGACGTTAATATATAAATATATATATATTTATTTTCTGAGGTTTTCGTGGGTGTTTGTATGTAGGTTTTTGGTTATTCAGGTTTTCTCCCGCGTAAAATTGGAAGTGTCTTGGCGACGTTTTGACGAAGTCCCATTCGTCATCTTCAGGCTGGTGTTTTCAGCCTGAAAATATTGCTCCTCAAAGCACGAAGCTGAAAACACCAGCTTGAAGATGACGAATGGGACTTCATCGAAACGTCGCCAAGACACTTCCAATTTTACGCGGGAGAAAACCCAAATAACCAAAGACCTACATATATATATATATGTATGTATGCAGGTCTTGGCGTATTCGGGTCTTTTCCTGTGTAAGATTGAGAGTATCTTGGCGATGTTTCGATGAGGTCCCACTCGTCATCTTCAGGCTGGGGGACCTCGTCGAAACGTTGCCAAGATACTCTCAATCTTACACGGGAAAAGACCCGAATACACCAAGACCTGCACACCTGTACCTGTGAAAATTTACGAGATATATATATATATATATATATATATATATATATATATATATATATATATATGTAGGTCTTTGGTTGTTCGGGTTTTCTCCTGCGTAAAATTGGAAGTGTCTTGGCGACAAAAAACAAACCCAAAGCCACACTGATGACGAGGCACGACCACAAACCAGAAGCCAGACCACAGCTGCATCATTAGCCACTTTAAACCCCTCCAATCCATACATAAAGCAAACTGACACCCTCCATGAAGAAGAAGCACGACCACGAACGCGAAGCCAAAAAATAAGAAGGCAGCCCAAAATCTCAAACCCCTCTGCAACTCAGACTAACCTGAGCACAACCAAACAGAACACTCCCCCATCCAATCAGAGCACAGCCAAGCCCCTAACCATTCAGAACACACCTCCACCCAATCAGAAGACAGCCAAGCTCCCACCCAATCAGTTCATACCCCCACTGGCAGTTAAAAGGAAGAAACAGCTAAGACCACACATTGCTGCTCGAGACACGAAGCTGAAAGCACCAGTCTGAAGATGACGAATGGGACTTCGTCGAAACGTCGCCAAGACACTTCCAATTTTACGTGGGAGATATATATATATTTCAATAAAAAAGGAAACGATCACCAGGAAATAAAACACCAAGGTTTTAATAAATAAAATCAAGCTTTCGATGGCTAGCACTTGCCATCATCGTCAGGATACAAGCTAGCTAGTGAGGAAACCTGCTTATAAGCATAGCCACACCTAAACTCTACGCATGGACCTTGTAACCTCTCTTTCTCTCTCTCTCTCTCTCTCTCTCTCTCTCTCTCTCTCTATATATATATATATATATATATATATATATATATAGAGAGAGAGAGAGAGAGAGAGAGAGAGAGAGAGACTTTCTCTCTCTCTCTATATATATATATATAGAGAGAGACTTTACTCAAAATGTGTAAAATTTGGGATCTAGCTTGAAATAATCTCTCTCTTTTTCTCTCTCTCAAATTTATATACAAATTAATGGCAATCATGTCAAATATCTGCTGTATCTTAGGAATTGTACACTGTATAAATGCACCAGGAGCCATATGCTGTATAAATGCACATTGACATTTGAATTACTGTTGATAAAAGATTCTAGAACAATTTTTTGAGTTTGTCAGAGCTACAGAGGGACAGAATAACTTAACTAAAGATAACTGGTCTACACTTGTATTTTACAGGAAGATACATTGAGGAAAACTGATTAACCCAAAGTTAGCTATGCAAATTATTTAATTTTTTTCTCACTATTAAAAGTATCCAACCTTACGCAGAACTACCAGGAGACTGATGTACTTTTTAACTGCACCTGTTCTACATTTAAGTTGATACCCTTTTGCAGTGCTTTTTTTCTAAAAAAAAAAAAAAAGGTGCCGGAATTCACACACGTCATACAACCTGCCTTGCCTCCCCTACAAGGTTCCATCCAAAAAAGGTGCCGGAACTCCGTTCTGGGCGTTCTATGAGAAAAAAAGCCCTGCCCTTTTGGCTGAATTATTTTGTTGGCTATGGTAGTTAAACTATGTAATTGTTTGTCTTGCTTGGCTTTACTTTATTTTTACGTTTACATTTTTGGTCTTTCTTGAAATGACCTCAGGGATTAAAGTGAAAGTACAAGGGAATCCGGGACATGGATCCAGATTCATTGAGAATACAGCTGCTGAAAAGATGGTAAAAGACCGTTTTCCATAATATACAGGGCTAAGGAAGAGTGGGAGGTAAAAACTGCTTATTAGTATCAACGTGTATAAATAAAAAAATCAAATCAGACACTTTATATGAACTGGCTTTAGTGCTGGCTATAATGTGCAGTTTAGAGCAGGATTATCAAATTGCAGTGCTCATATTTCATTAGGCCGTCACAGTTGATTATGAAATTCAGCCAGGAATCCCTTATGGTCAAAAGTTATGAAAGTTATAGCCCATCAGTTTCTAGAGAGAGAGGATTCTGAATTTTGGTTTACAAAGATTTTTTCCCATTTTATCATAATTTCCTAAAAAGAGATATAATCCCACTTTGCCCAGAAGCTGATATTTCAGGCAGTCCTATAGAAGCACTGGCAGTGGGGTGAATGCTTATCATTACACTTACTTTTGATTTTCCTGTTCACAGCACAGAGTGATCACTTCTTTCCTAGAATTCAGAGAACATGAAAAACAAAGGTAAGAAATAAAAATAGGTGAAGCCTATCAAAGATAGGGAAAGTCAATGCCTGACCTTCATGACCGAGTAACTGCATTTACCCATTCTGTGTTTTTTACAATAAGTACAATAAAAGAAGAGGATTTTGTCACCTCAAAAACATATGATTATGGCATGGCTTTCATAGACAGTATCTTAGTACATGAAATATATGTAAGGTGATCTAGCACTACCCTCCCAATCTTTTATTACAAATACATTGCTATCACAAGGGTCCACTGGAACCTTCAGCTGTGATATGGAAAACAATACAGCTTTTTCTTTCTATAACTGGACTAAAAGATATAGATGACATATATCTCTCATTACCCTTTGATTCTCTAAAACGGATCTGGGAGTTTTCATTTTAATGATAAGAGGTTGAATAATAAATTTCAAACCCCAGCTCTGCCATAATTCTACTAAGATGAGATTTATAAAATAATTTCACAAAACCTATTCTTGCTTTCATATATAATGCTGTATATAGTGATGCACTTTGCATAATTCCTAAGGATTTCTGATAAGGGATGCTTTGTAAATCCAGAATGGCATTATATTCACAAAGGACATTTAGTTTTGAAAATTATCTGTGTGATAACATTTGTTACTATGTAGTTGGATATTATACTGTCTACCATTTGTCATATATTAAGAGCTAATCCTCAGAAATATGGCTGGGTCCACTTGAAAGAGCCATCCTCATAATTTTCAGTTGACAACACTAGTAATATGTTTGGTCTGAGATTAAAATAACCATTTTAATAAAGGCAGGGATGCTTTACTGTGCTGGCATCTGTACTGTCCAGTGATAGAGGTTGTGTTTTGTATGCATGTTTTTAAGATAATGTGTAAATTATAGAATCAGGTATCTTCTGCACTCCAGTTTTTGTAGGGCAGTGATTCCTATCAGGGACTTAGCAATGAACTGATTTGAAAATGTCAAAGAAACGGTGTATAATTTTTTTTTTGTTCTTTCTTGCAGATTGAAAACAGGAGAGCATCTCACATTAGGAGATGTAACATCTGTGAACCTGACCATGTTGAATGGAGGCGTATCATTCAATGTGGTCCCCTCTGAGCTCTCTGTTGCCTTTGACATCCGGATCCCTCCCACAGTGGACCTAAAGGTGCAGAGAAGGAGAAGGTTACCAGTTTTCATCCCATAAAGATTTGCCTTGAATACCTCATCATAACTGGCCAGAGAATATATTAGCTCTTCCCACCCGTGCTAGAAACAGCAACTGTGGCTATTTATTTATTATAAAATGAATGTACAGTAGTTATTTGCAGGTAGTTATGGGCACATCTTGTTATGCCCATGTAGTACCACTATTCGATGAACTACACTGGCTCCCAGTAGGCTTTTGGGTGCAATTCAAGATGCTGGTTCTTATTTTTAAAGCCTTACATGGCATTGGACTGGATTATTTAAGGAAATTCCTTCTCCTAAGAATATCAGTCTGCCTCACATTCTCTCACAGGGAGGGCATGTTCCAGGTTCCTTCTTTTATATCTTGTCATCTTCAGGACCTAGGAAGGGTGCCACTTTTTGTGTTTGGCCCTATTCTCTGGAAGTATCTCTCCCTCCCCCCCCCCCATGTACGACAGGCCCCAACTTTTTCTCACCTTTAAGAAAGCCGTTAAGACCCGGCTCTTCCCTCAGGCATTCGGTGCTAGTTGTATGGGAGTTACCCTGTGGTAGTTTTGTTGTGTGCCTGTCACCATTTTACATACATACATACATACGTACATACATATATACATACATACATAGTTTATATATAGTTTATATTTATATTTATTGTTATATATGGTTTTCTTGGCTTGTTTTTCCTCTTTTTTTGTTTTTTTTTTGTTATTTTTATGCTGTACACCACCTATTGTTTGAAATGAGTGATCTTATAAATCTTAAACAAACTATTTCCTGATGGGTTTTTGTTTTTGTTTTTGCAAAACTTGTTAAACTGTCCTATAAAATATTGTTAGTTTGTTTAAAAATCTTGCAGCGTTTGTAGCTGTTAATATGGAAGCTTTTAATAACTTTTCTTGATGTTTGAAATAATTGGAGAGCTTAATTCCTTTGCTTGTAGATTACTTTCAAAAGTCCCAAATTCTGGTAGCCTTGAGGGGCTTTCATGTTTTATGTCTGTTTAATGAAAGATCAACTGTGTTTTGCAACACATTCCCCCAAAAGCTGCCCTGGAGAGAAATGTCAGGTATCTATCAAAAGCCATACAGACCTTTGATCAAGATGTAGCTTTGAAGCTACACTATTTGATGGTTCCTTACCTGTGAGGGAAAAATATCCTTAAGTCAGCCAGGAATGAGTGCAGAGAATTGTTGAACAGAATAATAAGATAATGAAAAATAGAGTGTCTGGCTAAGCATTGCTCAGAACAAAGCACCTTCTCATATCACATACTGATTTGTCTTTGCTTTGCAGGAATTTGAGGAACAGCTCACATCATGGTGCAAAACAGCTGGAGAAGGTGTTACATATGAGTTCCAGCAGGTAACTGAGAAATGAGGGTTCATTCCAACTACTTTTCCTTTAGTTCTAGAAGCAAAGCTCTAAACTGCTTTGGGCTTATAGCCTTCCGAGGTACTGCCATTGTCTTTTTCTACCTTTCCTTGGGCCTTTATCTCAACAGGGCTGTCTTTCTAGGGTGCCCTGTGCTCCACAGTCTCTTTTAGTCCTACTGCTGCTTCTGCCAAGCTTTTGCCAGACATTCCTGGGTTTTGAGAATCCTACAAGTTTCACCTTCTACCTTTTCCCTTGGGCTAGAAATACATGGATCAGACAGTTACCTCCACAGAGGAATCTGATCCCTGGTGGAAGGCATTCAGTGACACCTGCAAAGACATGTGAGTATGTTATTACATTTGCATTTTCTCATTTTTCTTTTTCCTTAGTCATGTTGGGATAGGAGCAAGTTCACCTGCTAGATAGGAGCAAACTATATTTATATTTGGTGGAGAAGTTGCTGTTGACTGCATTTAGAAAAAGGTTGGCATGTATACCAGGATACCCCCTAGTATAGACCAGCTATTCCCAGACTGCCTGGATTGCTAAAAGTTGGGAAAAGCAGGAAACTCCATCTTCTCAACTACTCCCATCCCAGAAGCTTGTTGATTTCCTTTTTCCGTTGATAAATTCTACCGTTGGATAGCTTGAAACTTTTGAAGCTGCAAAAAGACCAAATTAAATAGCAACCATCACACGGAGGGCTTCTCTGTCGTTGTGTCTCTGTCTCTTCAGGAATATTAAGCTGAAGTGTGAGATCTTCCCTGCTGCCACTGATAGCCGCTACATCAGAGCAGTGAGTATAGATGTCTTTCTTACAGGCACCTGACCAGTGAAGTGCTTATCTTCTACTCAATTGCTCTGGCCTTGCTTTCTGACAGTTGCTTCTCCTTCCAATACATTTCAGACAGGTTGCCCTGCAATTGGCTTTTCTCCCATGAACTACACACCTGTGCTGCTTCATGACCACAATGAATTCCTGAATGAGCAGATCTTCCTTCATGGGATTGAGATCTATACTCGCCTCATCCCGGCACTGGCCAGTGTCCCTCCTCTGCAAGCAGAAGCCTGAGGTCCTAGCAGATGGCAGTGATTTGGGGTGATTTGGTAATGGTGGTGATGGGGAGTGGGGAGAAAAACCAAAGAAACTGAGAAAGGACACTGTGATATTGTGACTGAGGGATTATGATGCCTGATGATGTGTGTTTTGCCAAGAGGAAGTAGAATTCCAGCACCCCTGGATATTACACAAGAGACAAAGAAAACTGGCAGCATTAGTTAATGAAACCACATATAAATTAGGGTCTTATTGATATCAATGACTTTTTCTCTGCTGTATACTAATGAACATAGAGATCCTTCTTACAATTCCAGATGGAAAACCATATCTTTTTTTATCTAGTAACATTTTCTCCATTTGGGGATAAAAGGATAGTCTTCATATCTTCTGAATTAGCAAATTCTAAGGCTTAGTTTCTCACTACTGAAACACAGTTGAACAGGAAAAGGATACTGTCATATTAACTGTCCTCCGGGTACTACTGTATCATTTTGCTATGTGGTTGGTTTTTTTTTTTTTAAGAAAAAGAATTCATTCACATTGGCAAACCTAAGGAAAAAATAAAATGGAGATGAAGGGCCTGAAATCTTGAGAAGTTGGGGTCAGGTGAGAGTGCTATTTAGGCTGCTGGGATTGACATGGAGTTATTTTTTTTTCCTTTTTTTCTTTTACTTTCTCTGACCTGCCTAATACTACTACGGAAGATCATCTCAGTTCTTATATAGAATTCTAGCAAGGAGAAAATTTCCCCAACGGTGCTATAATACTGAGCATTTTTTAAAGTTTCCCTATTCATAAAGGAGAATCAAGTATGACACTTAACCTTTGCCCCATATGAGTTCTTTCAAAGAAAAAAATGTTTTTGAAAGTAAATGAAAGGGATTTTGCAATAGCAATAGCACTTAAACTTATATACCACTTCCCAGTGCTTTATACCCTCTCTAAGTGGTTTACAGAGTCAGCATATTGCCCCCCAGCAATCTGGGTTCTCATTTTATCAATCTCAAAAGGATGGAAGGGTGAGCCAGTGAGAATTGAACTTGCAATATTGCATTCTAACCACTCTAGCATCATGGGTCTTTTTATTAAATAACGTTTAACTATAGAGAGAGACCCAGGTCTTGAAGGAGGAGTTAAAAACTAATACAACCTACTTAGGAACTTTTCTCCCTACTCTACTACCTCATCCCACAGGAAGATGGGGATGTCCCTGAATTTTCACTCCTTGATGATTCACTAGCGGTACAGCGGACTGCCTTAATTATCTAATGAACCTGTATTTCAGCTAATTATAAATGAATGCTATTTGGATTCTTTGAATGCCAAACTTCTAAGGGTGAAATGGAGATGATCTCACCAATAGCATGGATGATTTTTCTCCCAAGAATACCTTGGGGATGGCACTATATCAGAATAGTGCATCCTTTCCTTTGAGGCATTCTTTTACAAATTGTAACTGGAATTCTGCTGAAATATTAAAGATACTCAGCATAGAGATGTATGGTTTAAGGAGACATTTTCAGCCAAATTTCCTTGAATAAGATGCCAATCTCTAAATAATTTGTTAACACACACCTGCTTCTTGAACGTTAGCTATGTTTCTCCCACTAACAGCATTTGCAAAAAGCAAACCATCCAACGAAAGGGCTATTTTGCCCAGTCTTATACAAGATATTTGATTGAGACTGGAAAGTGAGAGAAGTTCTCCAGATATCATATTGACATGTTTTATCTCAGGTTCTCTTCATCCAACTTGTCACTTGTAACAAAACCTGAATTTCTTCCAGAAGGATTATTTTTCACACACTGCTTTATTGCAAGATCATCCCAATGTATATACACTGCCAGGTACACTTTCTCTTTTTCATATTGGATAAGATCTGTTAGAAATTCTGCTCAAATTTTCTGGTGTCATAGAGCAACACATACTTAGAGAATATGGAAATTTCCCCCCTTTATTAGTAGTCTATTAACTACACAGTAGGTGATTTTTAATACAAAACTGAAGCACAGATAACAACTCTGTGATTTGTCTATTATGTATGCAATAATAATCTGTGAAATTTACTGTGAAAATATAAATGTTGTGTAAAGTTTTGTGATCCAAAATATTCAGGTGTCAAAATGGGGCTAAATCAGGATTCTTTTAAAAGCCTAGGGCAAAAAGGCTAACTCATGCATTTTTACAGTTCTGTATAGTTTGGTACAATCTTACTTGGTAGAAAATCCTGATGTGCTCTTTTGTCTTTTGGCAAACATCCACTGAATTGTTGCATATATGATTGTGGAGATTTTAGATGAACATTTCTCCTTTGGGAAAATGACACTTCCACATAAGTCTATAGTATCAAAATTGTGTTTAGAATTGGTTCTTTGTTTCTTCTGTTTGCCATGTTCCAGGATGAATTCCTTTTCTAAGTTAAGTTTGGCTGAAAACAGAAATAACAGAACTATATGTGGTTATTAGATTGATAACTCATAACTGTATACTTGGAACATGAAGAAAAACCTGCTTATGGGCTTCCAAGAGGCTTTCAGTGCTCTTTGATCTAATACAACCTATGGGAGAGGGGGGGACAGCATCTTGTCTAACATAAATTTAAGTTGCCATTGCCCACATGAACAAAATGGTTCATGCCATGGATTATAGCAATGTTTTTTCAAAGCTGGCAACTTTTAAGATGTTCCCCATGTTAAAAATTTTTTGGCAAGACTTCAAAAGTGGTTTGCTATTACTGGCTTTCAAGGGCCAAAAGAGAATGATCTGTCCAACTGGCTTTGGGCCTAAGGCGTAACTAGAACGTCCACCTGTCTCCTGATACTAGTCTGGTGCCTTAACCACTATAACAAACTGGCTTTCGTATACCTCATTCACAGCACAGAAAGACTGTTTTTCCTCAGGTAGAAACCTACAACACATATAGCTTTCAGCATGATATAACTATTCCTAGTTTCTATAAATGTTGAGAAAACCAGCTATATAAACTTGTATGTCAGAAATATAAGAGCAGCCAGCATTATCATTTCACTCTGTCTTTTTCCTCAGCAGACTATGAATGGCCATATATGAGAGTTTAAAAGGAACTCTTGGTCTTTCTTAAATCATGTGTTCTTTGCTGTCCTTCCTATCTAAATATAGATATAAATTTATTCCATCTTGGAAATGTTTTTTTTTCAGTTTATACAGAGGTGATTTTAAGAAAAAAATATAATTAATGAAAACTTACTCAAATTTTAAAGTTAGATTTGTGTGCTAACTTGGGAGATGTGGTAACACTTGACTGACCTTAGTGGAGTTCTGAAGCCAAAAAGTAGGGCTGGACCTGGCTGGCATTTTTTTTTAATTAAAAGTTTTACAAATTTAATACAATATAACCCAAACCCCTCCCCCCTTCCCCCCCCTCACTTCCCAGAGCTGATTACAGGGTAACAAATAAACAATCATAATCTAACTAACATTACCCGCCTGTACTATCAATCAAACCATAACATACTTTAACTCCTTTTCAAAACAAATATTAACAAATTAAAAACATAAATAATAATATAATTAAACCATAACACTAAAATAATATAAATTCAATCATATTAAACTATTAATAATAACCTAAAATCTACTCATAAGCAAGATAATACTTTTCAGTCTCATATTTCTTTTGAATATAATCAATCCATCTTCTCCAAACCGAAATGTATTTTTCTTGTGTATGGTCCTTCAAATAAGTGGAAATTTTCGCCATTTCTGCTAAGTTAGACACCTTAAGTATCCATTCTTCCATAGTAGGCAAAGAATTTTTCTTCCAATATTGCCCCACCAATAATCTTGCAGCTATTATAAGATTCAACATCAAATTAATTTCTTTGACATCAAAATCAACCATAATGCCCAACAAAAATAGTTGCGGAGTAAACTTTATCTTTTTCTTAAAAATCTTTTGAATATTCCATCAAATCTTAATCCAAAAAGCTTTTATATCTCCACTAGTCCACCAAATATGAAAATAGGTTGCATCTAAGCTTCCACATCTCCAACATTTGGGTTGTAAATTAGGATACATGCGGGACAACTTTGGGGGATCCAAATGCCATCTATAAAACATTTTATAAAAATTTTCTCTTAAATTTTGCGCTTGGGTAAAATTTACATTTCTAACCCAAATTGTCTCCCACGTATCCAATAAAATCGGTTCTTGAATATTTTGAGCCCATTTAACCATACAATCTTTAACTAACTCCGTTTCAGAATCTAGTTCTATTAAAATATTATAAATTCTCTTTATTTGGGCTGGAGTTTGATCTTTAATCTGTTTGATAGGAGCTTAATGAGGAATTCTAGGCCTGTAGACTTGTCTGGGAACTCAAACCCATCTCCCCCAAAAAGGATGTGGCAAACCATTTACAAAACTAACGTGCCTATAGGTAGTCCTTAACTGATATCCCTAATTGGGACTGGAACATCTGTTGCTAAGCAATGCATTTGTTAAGTGAATTGGTCCCAATTTTATTACCTTTTTGCTGGGGTCAAGTCATAACACAGTTGTTATGTGAACCTGGCTTCCCCATTGACTTTGCATTATAGAAGCCCCCTAGGAAGGTCACAGTCATGTAACCGTGGGATGCTGCGATGGTCATAAGTGTGAGGACGGATTGAAGACACTTTTTCAGCACCATTTTTACTTCAAATGGGTGTTAAACAAATGTTCATAAGTGGAAGTGTACCTGTATACCAGTAATTAGAGCTTCTCTCAGCTTTTTCATTTTTATTCCGAACAGCAATTGCTTGGAACTATTTTCCACTAGATGGCGAACTGCACCTAAAAATCCTCCAGTATGGAATAATTCAACATATGGAACAATGATCAAATATTGGTTAATACTGTTGATTTTGCTCATATTTGTTGGGAGTGGGATGCAATAATGCATATATGGATATAACACAGGGAAATAATTAAAAATGATTGCTTTATAAAAGGAGAAGATGCACAAATATTAAAATTATTTTTGCAACAACAGAATAGCATGATAAACAATAGTCTAAAAGTTAAATTATGTGCCATGAAGCAAAATGAGTCTTCCATTCTCAGTTCATAGGCCAACTTTATCAGAGGGCATAGAGGGGTGATGATTTCAAACATAGTAGCCCAATGTGTGAACTTTGCTAGCTGAAGGACAGTGATTAAGGGCAAGTGATAATATTTTCTTTTGCAATTACTCAAGTGATTACTTCATAGAATAAACATTAATACACTGTTACATGTACACCACAAACTCTGCAAGAGCCAACAAACTTTTACAAAAGAATTTTCCTTTAGTCAGGGATTTGGCTCCTACATTATTGCACTAAGACATAACATATGACTTAACGTATCGTGTGAACCTGGACAGAAGTGGTCATACAGGTAGCATAAAATGATTTTCTGAATTAGTTATAAAAAAACAGATGTAAATGACTAATTGTACAGCAGAAAGCCATCTCAAGCTGTCTGTTTTGGATGTCTTTAAAGAAGGAACACAATGTTATTTATGGTTATCTTTTACTGGGGAGAGTAGGAAGTTGTGTGAATGTTCCGTCTTGGGTTCAAATACTATCATTAGCCATAAATGTTATGCAACTCTGAGGCAAAGAATCACTTAAGGAAGCATAATGCATTGGACCAGCTCTAGCGATGCACAATGTTTATTAAGAACATGAAAAAGGATATGAAAACCAAGTTGGGGGGGGGGAAATGCATCCACAAAAGACAGCATAGCTCTTTTGAAAGCAATAATCACATATTGAAAAAGCGGAAACCAAAATGACAAGATATATATTGATCAGGATGTAACAAGAAATCTAGTAATAGTGGCATTAGAAAAAATGCAACTAAAACCAAAGTGTTGTTTGGTTTTGAATTAGCTCTTGTAAATATTTGGAGGAAGAAAAAAAAAAAAAAGATCCTGGAATAACTGGTCTGCTTGTGGAAGCCATCCCCCCCCCCCCCCAAACAAGCTGCAGCTATCAGAAAAGTCTGACTGGAACGGAGCCACAGGGGATGGAGCCATTTTGTATTTTCTGTTACTGACAGCAGAAAAAAACAAACCCAGAATAGAAAGGTGCCTGCTGTTTTGATCCAATAAAGCTACTTGCATTTGAATCTGTCTGTAGGTAGACCAGTTTGAGAGCCACTTTGGTGTGGTGGTTAAGGCATCAGGCTAGAAACCTCGGGCACAAAGCTAGCTGGGTTACTGAGCTAGTCACTCTGTCTTTCTCAGCTCCAGGAAGGAGGCAGTGGCAAACTGCTTCTGAAAAACTTTGCCAAGAAAACTGCAGGGATTTGTCCAGATCGTCCCTGAGAATTGGACATGACTAAATGGAAGGAAAAAAAGAGGATGCTACTTTACTGCTTTGGATATTTGACAGAGATCCGATGAAAACCTTTTGAGTTAAACACAGCCTTGAGATACATCTGGGATTTGACTTGGCTCTGACTCAACCTCCAAATTTTGAGTGTCAAAATAGGTCATTTTCTCCCATTTGATAAATCAAGCCAGGTGTGGCGTGTCTAGTCTGCTCTTTAGCATCTTTGTACACAATACATCCCAGTACAATATATCTACATGGTGCAATATGAAGTCAAGAGAGGGCATCACACAAAGCAGCATGGTTTCTCCTTAGGGAGTGGGAGGGTTAGCTGATCAGTTTCTACCACAGTCTGTTGAAGTTGCATGCCAGCATTTGCCGAGGCCTCTTACTCTGCCGCCCTGCTGTCTCCACACTACTCAAAACACAACAGCAAGCAGCAAGCTGGCTTAAAGCAGCTGTTGAAATTGAAATCAGATGAGATGCAAAAATATTATGTTTTGGGTCTGAACTTTCGTCTCTTCATAAATGAGAACCATTTTCTTCCAAGGCAAGAGCTCTCTCTAGACACCCTCCCCCCCCCCAAGATGCTGCCTTGATAGAAGATCACCAGTGAGTAGCTGTGCTGGCAGTCCAGCAGAGATGGGATGAGTCAGTGCAGGTCCCCACAGTTCAATTTCCTGAGCCCTGAACTTAGATAAAAGATGGGACCCTGCTACTTGTCCTAGGACTGATGGCTGTTCTGTGGGAAAAATGGGAGATGGAATTTTTTGATTAGAGTTTCATCTCAGTACTGTAAAAACAACCTGGGCTGTTTCAGGTTCCTGGTTTCAGACTGACAAACTTGATTTTGAACATTAATTTTCTTAGAATAAATAATAGTCTAATGTGAAGCTGAGTCAGTGGGTCCATTCCTAATGCTGAAAAAACAATGTGATGAATAGCTTCATATATTGTGACAGATTTAAATAGTTGTAACCCCATATTTTTATTGTTGGGGGTGACTGCACATAAAAAGAGGCAGGGCTACACTCATCTTGATATTTTTACCCTGCCTCTCCCTCCCAAGTTACTGTAACTAATATCCCTTGAAAAATGGTATCAATCTATTTTGAGTTGTATGCTGAGATTGGTTTTCCAAAATAATATTTGTTTCCGTGACCAATGCAGAAATTGACGAAGTTCATTTGCTTTCCATAACACCATCATTCAACTTTATTACCTTCCTCTTATGAATTTGTTAACTCCATTGCATCTTTCCTCTCACAGCCATTATTACTTTCTGGGTTTCTGAGAGAAAGCAGAGCACAAAGTGCTCAAAACATAAAAATAATTGACTCACTGTAGCCTAATGCACCATATTTATCCATTTAAGTGAAACATAGACACTTGCTCTAAGTGGATCAGTTGCAAAGATGAAAAGACCTCTCTCTACGTTTGCAAATGTGCATGTGATGGAAAAGAAGAGGTGCATCTGGCAATCTGTTTTTATATAGGAGAAGATATTTATCCTTTCTCCTCAAGCTTCTAGCCTTGTCCACCAGTTTAACTTCAGTGAAACTTTTGGCTTAAAGATGATCAAGATCATATAAAGTGTTAATACCGCTTTACAATGCCTTGGTAAGGCCACACTTGGAATACTACATCCAGTTTTGGTCACCATGATGTAAAAAAAATGTTGAGACTCTAGAAAGAGTACAGAGAAGAGCAACAAAGATGATCAGGGAACTGGAGACTATAACATAAGGAACAGTTGCTGGAATTGGGTATGTCTAGTTTAACGAAGAGAAGGACAAGGGAGGACGTGATA